AGCAGCAGCAACTGCAACAGCAACTGCAGCAGCAACTGCAGCAGCAACTGCAGCAGCAACTGCAGCAGCAGNGCAGCAGCAACTGCAACAGCAACTGCAGCAGCAACTGCAGCAGCAACTGCAGCAGCAACTGCAGCAGCAGCAGCAGCAGCAGCAGCAAACTACCCCCAGGGCAGCCAGGAGTCTAGTCTCCCGGCGCGCACAGCAGCAGCATCAAGCTCCTCTGGCAGCAAGTGTGTTGTTGCAACAACAGCAACTCCTGCTGCTGCTGCTGCTGTTGCTGCTGCTGCTGTTGCTGCTGTTGCTGCTGCTGGGCGCAGCTGCTCAAAGGCTGTGCTTAGACCCGCTTTGCCCCCTAAACGCGGCAGTATCACACCTTGCTGCTGCTGCTGCTGCTGCTGCTGCTGCTGCTGCTGTTGTTGTTTGCTGCTGCTTATTCCCACTTCTTCCTCGAGCAGCTGCTGCTGCTGCTGCTGCAGCTGCTGCTGCTGCAACTGCTGCAGCAGCACGCGGCGTTTGTCTTCAAGCGAGTCCATAGCCAGCAGCAACGTAGCAAGCAGCCGCCGGTTGCTGATGCTGCTGCTGCTGCTGCTGCCGCTGCTGCTGCTGCTGCTGCGGCTTTGTGGTTGAGGCCTTAACCTGTCTGTGTCTCCTTGTTGCTGCTTCGCTTTGTCTTTGCTGCTGCTGCCCGGCTGCTGCTGCTGCTGCTGCTGCTGCTGCTGCAGGCGCGGGAGAGGGTCCAGTACGGCTCTGTTTGCTGCTGCGCGTTCGAGTCCCTGCAGCAGCAGCACGCAAGGAGCAGCAGCAGCAGCAGCAGCAAATAGCTGCTGCAGCCGCTGCTCTGTCTCCCCTACATAAGGAGAAGCAACAGCAGCAAGAGGCAGCAGCAGCAGCTGCAGCCCCTCAGCCTCCTTGAAATAAAACAAATGCTGCAGCAGCTGCTGCGGGCTTATCCTATAAAACTCATCATCCTCCACCTCCTCGTGCTGCTGCTGCTGCTGCACCCGAGAGGATGCGGGGGAGGGGCAGGCAGCAGCAAGTCACCGCCAACATA